TGACACTCAACGCGGCGCCGTCGCTCTTGTACGCCGACGTCGCCCGCATCTACTACGGCACGCCCAACGGCAATCAGATCTGGCTCCTCTCGCTCGTAATGCTCGGCAACTTTGTGGCGTACGCCTCGCTGCTGCTCCTTCTGAGCGTACAGCATGTGCCGTCGCCGACGTCGCGGCTGGTGCCGTTCTCGACACCAATCCTGCTCTACGCTACGACCGTCAGCGTCGTTCTCTGTCTAAATCCCGAGTTTGCAACTGTCAGCAATGCTTTTTATGCTGGGGCGTGGAACCTCCCGCTCACCATCAACGGCGTCGACCGCCCCGCCGGTGCCTACGACATGGCGAGTGTCCCGTCGGCGGCATCGCTCTTGCTGACACACATGCTGTATCCTGCGCTCGTGTCGATACTGGCCTCGATCGGTTTGGCCACGGCCCACCGCTACGTTACGTGCCGCAGTGTACCACCGGATGTGTTTTGTACACTTTGTCATGTACTATGGTGTCTAGTGGTCGATCAGCACGACGTGGACGGCGACCAATGCGTTCTTGCTCGCAACGCGCAAGCCAAGCTACCTCACGAGCTTGCCGTTGGGGCAAGAGGCTGCGATCACGATCGGCAACAAGTGCTTTTGCAAGCCGAGCACCCAGGCCATCCTCGGCTACGCAACCGTGACGCAAGGGACGTCGACAAAGGTGTTTGCTGCTACAACGACCCAGACTGAGACGCGCGGGGGACCGTCGTCGAGCTCGGTCGCCGCGCTGCCCAAGGCCAACGCGCCAGTCGCGCTTGTGCTCAGCACGTACCAACTACTGCCCGTGCTACTCGGATGCCTTCGACCGCGGCCTTTTGGGTCTGTGGCCGCCAACCAGTTTGTTTCGACCTCGGACAGCGGAAATAGCGACCACGCGACCAAGCGCTTTGTGTACAGTCGCGGTTTCTGCGTCAACTAGGACGCAAAGAGTTGAGACACGTTGTCCATTCTCTAAAGAAAAGGTGTGTACACAGTCCGTGTGCACACGCCGCGCGGCCGTGGAGCGCGATCATGGTAGATGACACGGTGGAAATGCTGCTGTCGATCGCCATTCCAATGCAAAATGGATGGCTGGATGGCTCGTAGAGCAGCGCTTACCACTCTACCCGACTCGGTGCCACAGAGATATCTCGGAGGGCTCACTTGAGCGCCGTCAACATGACGTTACCGGTACAGAGACACGGCGGAAATTTCGAATCTATCAGAAGATTGCGATCCTCATACTGGGTGCGCGCCGTTGACGAGTCCGCTACTGGTGGCGTTTCAGCGCTGTTCTTACTCTGTGATCCGACCTCACATAACATATTGCCATGAGGTTGCACGCAGTGATAGCATCGGCAGGCTCCCGCCTCGGGTCGCGCGCCAGCAGTAGCTTCGCCCGCCCGTCCACCATCTTGGACGCCCGCGCGCAGGCGAGCAGCCTCGTAGTCTTTGGCCGCATCGGCTCCAACCTCGTCGCTGGCGGCCTCATCTTTCTCTCGCTCGCAACGCT